CCGGGCAGTGGGAGGCTGGGAGTCTCTCTGGAAGGAGGCCGGGCAGTGGGAGGCTGGGAGTCTCTCTGGAAGGAGGCCGGGCACTGGGAGGCTGGGAGTCTCTCTGGAAGGAGGCTGGGCACTGGGAGTCTCTCTGGGAGGAGGCCGGGCAGTGGGAGGCTGGGAGTCTCTCTGGAAGGAGGCTGGGCACTGGGAGGCTGGGAGTCTCTCTGGAAGGAGGCTGGGCACTGGGAGTCTCTCTGGGAGGAGGCCGGGCAGTGGGAGGCTGGGAGTCTCTCTGGAAGGAGGCTGGGCACTGGGAGGCTGGGAGGCTCTCTGGAAGGAGGCTGGGCACTGGGAGTCTCTCTGGGAGGAGGCCGGGCAGTGGGAGGCTGGGAGTCTCTCTGAAGGAGGCTGGGCACTGGGAGTCTCTCTGGGAGGAGGCCGGGCACTGGGAGGCTGGGAGTCTCTCTGGAAGGAGGCTGGGCACTGGGAGTCTCTCTGGAAGGAGGCTGGGCACTGGGAGGCTGGGAGTCTCTCTGGAAGGAGGCTGGGCACTGGGAGTCTCTCTGGGAGGAGGCCGGGCACTGGGAGGCTGGGAGTCTCTCTGGAAGGAGGCCGGGCACTGGGAGTCTCTCTGGTAGGAGGCCAGGAGTGGTTGTGGCAGGTGGAGGTCTGGCTGTAGTGGAGGGAGGTGTTACCTGGAGAGCAGGTCCGATCCTGAGACAATAGATCAGAACAGCAGACAGGTAACACACACACACACACACACACACACACACCTTCCTGCAGACACACACACACACACACAGTGTAAACCTCCCCTGCCAGACACACACACACACACACACACACACACACACACACACACACACACACACACACACACACCTTCTACCAGACACACACACACAGTGTAAACCCTCCCCTGCCAGACACACACACACACAGTGTAACCCCTTCCCTGAATCTATATGTAATGTATGTTTCTGATCACTTGCTATTAAAAGAGGACTTACCAAATGCTATGCCATGCTTACAGTTAGGTGACACAGTCTGCAGTGTTCACACTATGTGTGTTTGTATATCAGTGTAATGATGTACATGTTTCGTTGTATAGTGTGCATATTTGTTAGTTTGTATTTTAGTGTTATTGTGTGTCTGTGTTGTGTTAGTATGTGACAACATGTGTGTCTGTGTGTTTTGGTAGGTTTGTATCAGTTAGTGTTTATACGTGTGTTTTAGCATGTGGTATGTGTGTCGCTGTCTGTTTTAGAATGTTTGTACTTGTATCAATGTGTGTGTCTGGTGTTCTAGTATGTTGATATTATGTCACTGTTTGTGTCTGTCTTTTAGTGTTTGTGCCTGTGTCAGTGTGTGTGTTTTGGTATGTTTGTGTCAGTGTGTGTGTTAGTATGTTTGTGCCTGTGCAGTATGTGTGTGTTTTAGTATGTTTGTGTCAGTGTGTGTGTTAGCATGTTTGTGCCTGTGCAGTATGTGTGTGTTTTAGTATGTTTGTGTCAGTGTGTGTGTTAGCATGTTTGTGCCTGTGTCAGTGTGTGTGTTTTGGTATGTTTGTGCCTGTGCAGTATGTGTGTGTTTTAGTATGTTTGTGTCAGTGTGTGTGTCTTAGTATGTTTGTGTCAGTGTGTGTGTTAGTATGTTTGTGTCAGTGTGTGTGTTTTGGTATGTTTGTGCCTGTGCAGTATGTGTGTGTTTTAGTATGTTTGTGTCAGTGTGTGTGTTGGCATGTTTGTGCCTGTGCAGTATGTTTGTGTCAGTGTGTGTGTTGGCATGTTTGTGCCTGTGTCAGTGTGTGTGTTTTGGTATGTTTGTGCCTGTGCAGTATGTGTGTGTTTTAGTATGTTTGTGTCAGTGTGTGTGTCTTAGTATGTTTGTGCTTCTGCAGTATGTTTGTGTCAGTGTGTTAGCATGTTTGTGCCTGTGCAGTATGTGTGTGTTTTAGTATGTTTGTGTCAGTGTGTGTGTTAGCATGTTTGTGCCTGTGCAGTATGTTTGTGTCAGTGTGTGTGTGTTTTAGTATGTTTGTTTCAGTGTGTGTGTTAGCATGTTTGTGCGTGTGTCAGTGTGTGTGTTTTGGTATGTTTGTGCCTGTGCAGTATGTGTGTGTTTTAGTATGTTTGTGTCAGTGTGTGTGTGTTTTAGTATGTTTGTGTCAGTGTGTGTGTTTTGGTATGTTTGTGCCTGTGCAGTATGTGTGTGTTTTAGTATGTTTGTGTGAGTGTGTGTCTTAGTATGTTTGTGCCTGTGCAGTATGTTTGTGTCAGTGTGTGTGTTTTAGTATGTTTGTGTCTGTGTGTTTTACTGTGTGACAGAGTACCCACAGCATTTCTCAGTGTCTGAGGATTGAATTGCCCTTTGTGGTGCATGTGACGTGTCCCTTGCTGTCATTGTGTGTTTGTAGACTGCCCCTCCTACCCAAACTTAACAAAGCTTGTCTTTATTCTCTGCAGTCACAGTACAGAGATCCCCATGAGAGCTGCTATGACTCCTGTGCTGCTGCTTCTATCACTGCAAGGTAGGTACCACAGCGCCTCCTACTGGAGCTTGTACATTGCTGCATAGGGAGATGGGACTGTGTTATACACAGTGAAGGTGACGGGCTGTGTTGTTATACGCAGTGAGGGTGACGGGCTGTGTTGGTATACACAGTGAGGGTGACGGGCTGTGTTGGTATACACAGTGAGGGTGACGGGCTGTGTTGGTATACGGAGTGAGGGTGACGGGCTGTGTTGTTATACGCAGTGAGGGTGACGGGCTGTGTTGGTATACACAGTGAGGGTGACGGGCTGTATTGCTATACACAGTGAGGGTGACGGGCTGTGTTGTTATACATGGGCTGTATTGCTATACACAGTGAGGGTGACGGGCTGTGTTGTTATACATGGGCTGTATTGCTATACACAGTGAGGGTGACAGGCTGTGTTATGCACAGTGATGGTGACGGGCTGTGTGGTTATACGCAGTGAGGGTGAAGGGCTGTGTTGTTATACACAGTGAGGGTGACGAGCTGTGTTGTTATACACAGTGAGGGTGACAGGCTGTGTTATACACCGTGATGGTGACGGGCTGTGTTGTTATGCACAGTGATGGTGACGGGCTGTGTGGTTATACGCAGTGAGGGTGAAGGGCTGTGTTGTTATACACAGTGAGGGTGACGAGCTGTGTTGTTATACGCAGTGAGGGTGACGGGCTGTATTGCTATAAACAGTGAGGGTGACGGGCTGTGTTGTTATACACAGTGAGGGTGACGGGCTGTGTTGTTATACACAGTGAGGGTGACGGGCTGTGTTATACACAGTGAGGGTGACAGGCTGTGTTATACGCAGTGAGGGTGACGAGCTGTGTTGCTATACGCAGTGAGGGTGACGGGCTGTGTTGCTATACGCAGTGAGGGTGACGGGCTGTATTGCAATACGCAGTGAGGGTGACGGGCTATGTTGTTATACACAGTGATGGTGACGGGCTGTGTTGTTATAAACAGTGATGGTGACGGGCTGTGTTTTTATACAGTGAGGGTGACGGGCTGTGTTGTTATACACAGTGAGGGTGACAGTCTGTGTTATACACTGTGATGGTGACGGGCTGTGTTGTTTTACGCAGTGAGGGTGACGGGCTGTGTTGGTATACGCAGTGAGGGTGACGGGCTGTGCTGGTATACGCAGTGAGGGTGACGGGCTGTGTTGGTATACGCAGTGAGGGGTGCACGCTGGCTGTGCCGCGTATACGCAGTGTGGGTGACGGGCTGTGTTGGTATACGCAGTGAGGGTGACGGGCTCTGTTGGTATATGGAGTGTGGGTGACGGGCTGTGTTGGTATACGCAGTGAGGGTGACGGGCTCTGTTGGTATATGCAGTGAGGGTGACGGGCTGTGTTGGTATACGGAGTGAGGGTGACGGGCTGTGTTGGTATACGCAGTGTGGGTGACGGGCTGTGTTGGTATACGCAGTGAGGGTGATGGGCTGTGTTGGTATACGCAGTGAGGGTGACGGGCTCTGTTGCTTTATATGGAGTGTGGGTGACGGGCTGTGTTGGTATACGCAGTGAGGGTGACGGGCTCTGTTGGTATATGCAGTGAGGGTGACGGGCTGTGTTGGTATACGGAGTGAGGGTGACGGGCTGTGTTGGTATACGGAGTGAGGGTGACGGGCTGTGTTGGTATACGCAGTGCTATACGTAAAGCCAGCATGGTTTAGTTATGGAATCTAATTCTCGTTGCATGTCCCAGCCTCGTGCATCTCCTAGCCCACCTGCCTCATAAGTAAGTATTTTAGTATAACATCCTTTGGGAATCTCCTTAAATCAGCTTCATTCTTCACTTATAGTCCGTTAAAGATGCTGCCTGTAGGGGACTCGGTATAGCAGACATTTGTTTATTTCATTTCTCCTCATCTTTCACTGTTTATGCTTTCTTGTGCTGCATGACCTGTGATGTCCATATTAGCCGATATATATCCGCCTCTGTAATATCGGTTGTCGGCATTTCTTGTTACCACACAATAAACAAAATCTATTTTATTTATTTTTAAAACCACAATATCAATTTTTGAAAAAGTTTAATGAAGTGGGAGAATGGACTCTAAATGTCACCAGACAAGAAATTTGAAACTGAGAAAACAGACATGGGCTGAGGTTTAACATTGACAAGTTTCAATTTCAATATTAGCCATATTCATGTGAACAGAGTCGTGTCAATAATGAGTAATGGAGGCACTCTCCCAAAATCACCTCCCTGCTCCCCGTTTCTCGTCACTCTGTCTCTGTAAATCTCCTCTGTGGACCTGCCACCCAGTGGAGGTGTGGGTTATTGTTTAGATATCTGTCTGAGATGGGCAGACAGTTTTCACGTTGGGGAGATCGTGACAAGAATCTGCAGGACCATAACTAAATCTGTGTATGGCTTGTAGCAAATGGCAGTCCTGGTTTTGACGACCTACCTGCACTTTATAGTCCTGGTTTTGATGACCTACCTGCACGTTGTAGTCCTGGTTTTGATGACCTACCTGCAGATTACAAAGTTATGTTTTGAAGTCATTGAAGTAGGAAGGACGACAAACCATGGAAACTTCTAATATGGATGAGGACGGTGAAAGTGTTTAATTTTCCATGCTGGAGATGAGCGGTCAATACTGCACAGAAAATTCCCTGAGCAGGCTATAATCTATCTTAATAGACCTTCCATTCTTCAGTAGGGAGACAGCGAGTGTAACAGAGCTCCCTGTACTCCAACCAAGTACGCTCCGTTAATGGATGCTCCTAGCGCTTCCTGAGGACTCCAAACGGTGCAGCAGACACCACAATCACCACAGACTCCACAACCGCCGTAGCTTCACTGGAGTCTCGCCATCTTCCTTCCACCCTGAATCAGATTCTGTCCTCAAGGACCGTGTGGGAAAGACCTCCAGCATCCAGGACTGTGTGGTGAAGACCTCTCCTCCAAGGAGAGCATGTCAGGAACAAGCTCTTAAAAGAGCTAAGTGATTCAAGCTCAGGGGAGCATGCAGAGCATAGCAATCCCCAGTGTGATTATAACAGCTCCCTCCAATAACGAGACAAGGCTACATTTAGATGGATCAAGAAGAACTGTCTAAACCTTTATTTCCCTTGGGACCAGCCCATAGGGTCACCATAT